CATTACCGTCTTGGTCACCTAAACTTTAGGGATCTTAAAATGTTGCAACAAAGTGAAATCGTAACGGGGCTGCCACATATTAGTGTTCCGACAGAATTGTGTGAGGAATGTGTCACATCTAAGCAACACAAGAAGGTGTTTAGCAAGGATGCGGGTCAGAGAGCCAAAGACTTACTTGAGGTGGTGTATTCCGATTTTTGTGGACCAATGCAAGTAGAGACATATGGCGGCAATCGATATTTTGTTACGTTTATTGACGATTTTAGTAGGAAGCTTTGGACTTATCTTATCAAGAGAAAGGATGAGGTATTTGGAGTGTTCAAGAGTTTCAAATCCATGGTGGAGCGTCAAAGCGGCCGGAAGCTCAAAATTCTCAAAACGGATGGTGGAGGTGAATATACCTCTAGTGAATTTGGGAAGTTTTGTGATCTTGAGGGTATTGTGCGTGAGGTGGTGCCTCCATATACGCCTCAACAAAATGGAGCTGCCGAGAGGAAAAATCGTACAATAATGAACATGGTGCGTAGCATGCTTTGTGGGAAGAAGTTACCTAAAGAATTGTGGGGTGAGGCCGTATCTACAGCCACCTACTTGTTGAATAGGTGTCCTACTAAGAAGCTGGAGAAAATCACACCGGAAGAGGTTTGGAGTGGTTTCAAACCGAGTGTGGTTCATTTGCGTGTTTTTGGATCGATTGCATATCGTCATGTACCAAATCAACTTAGAAAGAAGTTGGATGATAAAGGTGAGAAGTTGATATTTGTTGGATATCACTCTACTGGTGGTTACAAGTTGTTTGATGAGAAGAATCGGAAGATCGTGATAAGCCGGGACGTGACTTTTGATGAAATCAAAAGTGCAGAAACAGCAGCAGAAAATCAGCAGCAGCAGTTTTTTGAAATCTCTGATCCAGAGTTGTCTGATGCCGCTGTACCAGCACCTACAGCAGCTGAAAACAATGTTGTGAATGAGGGTAGACCAACAAGGCATAGAGGTATGCCTCAAAGACTCCGAGATTGTGAACTGTTCCGAGATAGTGAGATCAACAATGATGGTGATCTTATTCATTTTGCTTTAATGGCCGAATCCGAACCGGTAAATACGGAGGAGGCATTAAGCGATCCAAAATGGATGTGTGCAATGAAGGAAGAGTTGAAATCGATTGAGAAGAACAATACTTGGGTGTTGGTTGATTTAACGAAAGGTAAAAAGGCGATTGGTGTGAAATGGGTTTACAAAGTAAAAGCAAATCCGAAAGGCGAGATAATCAAGCATAAGGCTCGATTGGTAGCAAAGGGATTTTTGCAAAAATAAGGCATAAACTTTGATGAGGTATTCGCACCGGTTGCAAGGCATGAAACCATCCGGTTAGTTGTTGCGATTGCAAATAACAACAGCTGGTCGTTATATCAAATGGACGTCAAATCGGTGTTTTTGAATGGTCTATTGGATGAGGAAGTGTATGTTGGACAGCCACCTGGTTTTGTGATACAAAATCAAGAGGAAAGGGTCTACAAATTAAGGAAGGCACTCTATGGTTTGAAACAAGCTCCAAGAGCTTGGAACAAACGCATAGATGTTTTTCTTATCAACATTGGTTTCAAGAAGTGCGTATCCGAACACGGTGTGTATGTGAAGTCGGATAAAAGCAAAGGAGTAATCATACTTTGTCTTTATGTGGACGATTTGTTGATTACAGGCAGTTGTGAAAAGTACATTTCAAAGTTCAAAGAAGAGCTTATGGGGGAGTTTGAAATGAGTGATCTTGGCTCTATGAAATACTTCTTAGGCATAGAGTTCCAAAAAACAAAGTTGGGACTGCTCATGCATCAAAGAAGGTATGCAATGGAGATTTTGAAGAGGTGTGATATGGAGCATTGTAATGCTGCCACAACACCAGCCGAGGCACGTTTACAGCTGTCCAAGAGTGAAGATGAGCAAGATGTGGATCCTACTCAATACCGGAGATTGATAGGATCATTGCGTTACTTGTGCAATACGCGGCCAGATTTAGCGTTTAGTGTCGGTATTGCAAGTAGGTTCATGGAGAGGCCGAAGGTATCACACTTGGCAGCGGTTAAGAGGATCCTTAGATATGTGAAAGGTACTCTTGGCTGTGGGATTTTATTTCCTGCAAGTGACATGGGCAAAAGTTGCGAATTACTCGGATACACCAACTCCAATTGGTGCAGAGATAAGGACGATCGGAAATCAACGGCCGGTTATGTTTTTATGTTCGGAGGAGCACCAATCTCTTGGTGTTCTAAAAAGGAGCCGGTGGTTGCTCTCTCTTCTTGTGAGGCGGAGTATATCGCAGCTTCGTTATGTGCATGCCAAGCTGTGTGGCTAGTGAACCTGCTGTGTGAGCTGGACAGCAACATGAGAGGAGCTGTTCTGCTGTTGGTGGACAATGTTTCAGCCATCAACCTTGCTAAGAATCCCATAGCACATGGGAGGAGCAAGCATATTGAGATGAGATTCCATTACTTGAGAGATTTAGTAAGTTCTGGACAGTTACGTTTGAGCTACTGCAGAAGTGAAGAACAGGTCGCGGACTTGTTGACGAAAGCAGTTACGAATGATGTTTTAAAGCGACTCGTGGTGAGGTTGGGCATGAAGAACATTGAGCATTTGACTTAAGGTGGTGTGTTAAATGATTAGAATAAGTCAAATGCAGTGTAATTGGTTTTGAAGTGTTTTTGGAGAATAGCTTATTTGAGAAGCTATTTTGGAAAAGCTGCCAGTATGCTGCAGGAAACCCTGTTTTGTTACTTTGTTTAGTGTTAGCAGGCACTATATATACATTTTGTAACATGTTGAATGAAATTAATGCCATATGATTTTTTACCCTCTCAATTAATCTATATTCTCTCAAAACTTGATCTTCCCCAATCCTCTAATTTCACCAAAATTATCCATCATCTCCATTGATTCACATACAAGATTTTGTGCTTGTTCTAACAATGTCCTCTTAGAACAATAAATATAATTTTTAAAATGATTGAACTAAAGAACTAAAGATATATTTGTCTTCAAAAATTGAACAATATTTGAAAATATTATATTCGTTAAAAAACAAATCAAATTAGGGGAGTACAACGTATATTAAGCCATATACATAATACATACAAGTATTCAATTAATTTATATATCTTAAAAATAATATTTTAATTAAGAAAAATGTACACTCTCTTATCATTATTAGGGGTGTTTGCGGTTCGGTTTGGATCGGTTTTAAGATAAAAAATCATCCGATCCAAAGATAAATTTACTTGCGGTTTGGTTCGGTTTTAGATGATATATTAAAAAAAATCAAATCCGATCCGATTCAATTTTATGCGATTTAATTTGGATCGATTTTTGGATATCCAAATTACACATTATATTTTTATTAATATTATAAAACTACAAATAAATCATAGATTTGATATAATATATAACATATAGTATATTAAAAGTTAATATTACAAAATGAGAGTGATTGATTATGATTGAAATAATAAAAATAAATAAATTATACCAAGCTAATAACTATTATTAAAAAAATTATTATCATCTAATAATAATTTCACATAGCATATCATACTAATAAAAAGTAAATAAGTATAAAAATATATGTATGCGGTTTGGTTTGGTTTGGATCGATTTTGAAAAATTAATTCGAAATTCGATCCGAACTGATCGGTTTTCACAAAATAATATCCAAACACATCCAATAAATTTTGGTTTTTTGCGGTTTTCGGTTTTTTGGATCAGTTTTCGGTTTTTTAATTGGATTGGTTTGAATTTGAACACCCCTAATCATTATTATAAATAACAAAAACTTTTTTTAATAAACAGTTAATGTGTCTAAAGTATAATAATGATCAAATATATTAATAGTTTAATAAATTAAAGAAAATGTTTTTTTTTCCAGGTATAAGAGCATCTCCATTAATATTATCCACTTTTAAATTTTATTATAGAATCTATTATTTATATAAGTTTGAAGCGACTCATTTAATATTTTATTCTAATGGTACAATTATAAAAAGTATATATTAAATGTCATAATTTTATCTCATATATTAATATTTTATATATTAATTTTATTTTAACTTAGAATAATTAAATTAATTAGATTAATATTAATATAAAATAAATAAAAATCAACTAAACTTAAATTTTAAAATAATAAATTATTGAAAATTATATTAATTAGGATTCATTTAATCTAAATAATAGTAATTTTGAAGTAAGTAAATAAGGAGAAGAAATTATAAGAAAATTTAAAAATTTAAAAATAAAATAATGAAATTGTTAAAAAAAATTGAAATTTTGAGAGAAAATAAAATTGTGAGAGAAAATTTGTGTGCAAAAAATTTGAATTGGTCTTATTTATAAAAAACAATTAATTGTTAAAAAATAAATTAAAAAAAAAAGTTAAGTTACCGTTCGAGTTTACAATTATACGGTTTTGAATTTTAAATTAACATAATCTCTTTTGTTTAGATGCTCATTCTCTTTGCCTATGTGAAAATATTGTTTAAAAAATCGTGCACAGTATCTATCTGTCAAACACAAACAAGTACTAGAAAAATGGTTAACATTAACATCAATGTTTTCATTAAAAACACTTGTTTTTCTCGTGTGTTTGTGTGTGCTAGTGGCTGCTGAACTTTCCCACTCGCCAAACAGTACTTTAAATTAAACCCAGTCTATGCCTACTTTTCTCACACATTAAAAACACGTGCTTCAAACCAAAAATAATATACTAATAACGCACATTAATATTTTATTAATATATCAAAGAAAATCTTTACTAAAAAAATAAAAAATTATCAAGATAAAGACCACATGGTCTCATTGTTCAGACAAAGAAACTTCAAGGAACAAACAAAGCTTAGAAAAAAAAAGGACACTTTCTCTCATCTAAAGGGTCACTAACCAAACATCAAAGTTTTGATTTTTTTGTGATAAATCTTCTAAAGTTTGAATTTTTTTGGTGGGTTTTGTTGAAAATGACTAGTTTACCTAATACTTTGTCTGATGGCCGGAGAACAACCGCCGGTAAGGCGCCGGAGAAGTTCAAGTTTTCTCAGACTTGTAGTCTGTTGAGTCAATTCTTGAAGGAGAAGAGAATTTCTGGTGATTCTGCTTCTGGAATGTTTGGGAAAATTGAACCTAAAGGTGCCATTTTTTGTTGAATTGTTTGCTAGTTGCCTATTAGTACTTAAATTATTACATAAAATGTTGTATAAAGTTTGTGAAATTTGTTGTGATTTTTTGCTTATTGTTTTTGGTTTGGGATTTTTAGGAGGTGGTAAGGATTCTTTTGGTAATATGAAAAACTCAGAAGGTGGTTTGAGACTAAATGCATCTGATATGGAATCTCTTCCTCAGCTTGTGGAAAATCCTTGCATTAAGAAAACTAATACAAGGTATGTGTGTGTGTGTGTGACAATTTTAATTTCTGCAATTGTTCTGAATTTTAATTCAATATAGAAAGTAAAGTTTTTGATGTAAATTAATGACACATGTTGTGAATGAATGATATGATTTGGTTTTGAAACTTGTTACTGTGTGACTAGATCTGGTTAACAAAGTGGTTATGAACAATTTGGTTTATGAGCTTTTAGCTAAAATCGAACTATTCCGATAGTACTCAAGATCAATTTAGATGTGTTTGTGTTAAGAGTCTCACGTCAGATAATATATGATTAATATATATTGACTATTAGGTTTTTGCTATCAGGCACGGTTTTGATAGGTTGAATCACAAAATCAAAATAGAAAAGAAGAATAGATCTGTTTTTGTTAAAAATTGGATCACCAGATCTCGACCCTACTATAAAACTACTAGTCTAAATTTGTTGAGCATCAATTGTAGTATGAGAGTGTGCTTGTTTCTAAGTCTTAGGTTCGAATCAGCTAGGTGCTCTTGTCTCAACCAAAAGAGATCTGTTTTCATTTTTCATCTAGATTATTTCTTAAACAATGTTCTTATTATTGTTGTTTAACTTTTCTTATAGATCGACGGCTCCTGAAACGCCGCAACTGACGATTTTCTATGCCGGGAAAATGTTAGTATTCGACGCTTTTGCACCCGCGAACGCAACCGAGATCATGGAGTTGGCGACAAAGTTAGCCTCTGAAAATTCAAACACAGAAGAAAACCCCCCCTCTGCACCTGTCACAAGTGAAAAACCAAAATCAAAGGAATCACAAATTCCTCAACCGAACACTTCCCTAGAAACATCTAAACCAGAAAACCAAACCAATTCTTCAGGTAAATTAATTAATTAACATCTTTAATCATCTTCATTTTTCGTATTAACCAAGAAAACTAACATTACAAGCAAGCATGTGAAAAAAATTCATACTCTAATTTAATGTTACATTTACTTTTGTTAAATAAACAGATATGAGATATCCAAGAAGAGCCTCACTTCTTAAATTTCTTGAAAAAAGAAAAGAAAGGTAAGGACCATTATTAATTTAATTTAATTTGTAAATTTTCTTTTTTAATTAGTCAATGCTAATTAATTGATTTTTTTTAATTTTCAGGGTCATTGCTAGAGGACCTTACCAAATTAACAATCACAAAAATGAGGGTAATAATAGTTCAGGAGGAGAACCTAAAGGTCAACAACACTTTGACCTTAACTTATAGTGATTTTAAGTTCATTATGACCTTAACTTAAGGCACTTAGAAGATTGTTTTAGCTTTCATATAAATTTATAAGATATAGTTGTATGTATTATTTTGTCAATCAATTAGGTCCAATGCTTTGGGATCAAGCTATAAACTTAATTAGTTTTATTACAGAAAAAATTGATTAATATTTAGATTAAGATACTTTCAAGTTTTTTTTTTAATTCCTAATCGCAAAAGGATATATAATTTGTCTCTTTGTGCATACAATTTTCAACCAAACGTGTTTTGTTCACAACGTTTTTTCAACCTAGAGATTATCCAAAGATTGAAAGTTAATCAAAAGAGAGAGGAAATTGTCAAAGAAAACAAAGATATGTGGCCATGTAGGGTAACAGAAAATTGCAAGTTGCTTCTTCGTTTGGAACATGCCAGATATTGTGTGGATGAAAATTATTTTGCAAAAAGTTAAATTGAATGGTCAATTTTCTTTTTAAATAAAGATAAAAAATGGACTTAATTCAGAATTTTAATAAGTACTATTTATTTGTTAATCAAATATAAAAATAAAGAAAAAATATAATTAATTAAATGGGAATAGTAAATAAAATTTATTGATTGAACTAATATGCGTTGAAATTATATATATGATTATTCTATGCCTTAATAAATAATTCAATGCGGTATACTTTTCATCCATACAAAAAGTAGAATTAAGAACATAATAATGCAATGTGATGCACGAGGAAATAGAAATCCGCCAATTTTGAAATTGCAAAATTTTGTTGACTTTATTGTCGTTTTCAAAAGGACAACATTGACTAGTAAGGACGGTAAAATGGGTTGGGTATGTCGGGTAGGTCTGTTTGATTCGCTATTTTTGACGAGTTGATTTGAGGTTTTGGTTCGATATCTTAAATTGGTCCGTCCCGTCTAATCTGTTTAAAAAAGCGGACTGAGATGAGGTGGAACGAGTTTTTTCTTCAGATTTTTTGTTAAATTTTTTATTCTTTTTATTAAGAATTAAAATAATTTTAATTATAAAAATAACACTTGTCTCTTAGAATTGTATTATAAATTATTATACAGACAAATTGAGTTATAATTGTAACGTTCGTTCTATAACTTTCTAATACATGCGTTGATTGAAAATGATTGAAATAAAAGATCTAATGTATGACATGCATAATTATTAAGTTTTCAATATATTAGTTCAGATATTTTTTTTAGAAATAGATGTTGATTTTATGAAAAGAAAAGATTTGATTAGTGTATACGTTTGACAAATTTAAGATTTAACTATTAAAGAGTCGGTCAATATAAGAGTCTATATAATATAAGCAGTGACAAAGTTTGATGTTGATATTTTACGCATTACTATTTTATGCATTGTGATGTTTTATGCAATGTTATTGTTATCATTGTTGGTTTTGTGTAAATTATAAATTGGGTTCTTTTAGAAGTCAATTTTTAAATAAGATTAGGATGATATGTATTGTTTATTTACTTTGATATTTTTTATTGTGCTTGGGTTTATTTTGTTTTTTTGTTGTAATTGGTCTTTATTTATTAAATTTTTTGAATTGTTTGGACTTAAGACATCTTGAAGTTTTATTATGTGTTGTTAAAAAAAAATCTTTATCGATCTCTTTGGTAATAATTTTTTTTTCCTTCTAAATTATGTATTAAATCAAATTGTAAAATAAAAAAAATAAAAAATTGGCGGACCGGCCTGCCAACCCGTCAACTCGTTAGTAAACGGGGTGAACTTGACTTTTGAGTTCGGACCCCTACGTTGATCCGTCCCGCTCCGCCTCACTTTTGAACGAGCTTAAACGGAGCAGACCTAAATGGGACAGACTATCCGCTTTGCCATCCCTAGTCATGAGTAATATTAAAAGTAAAGAAAAGTAAAGATAATAATAAAAATAAAGTTGAATATAGAAGTAGTGTTGGAGATATTAAAAGACATGATTTTATTTATGAAATACTTATAAAGAGTGGCAAATCAAGAATTTTAAGATTTAAGATTGAAAATTCGAATGTCTTTCACAACATATAAATTAGAGGTGTTCAAATCCAAACTAATACAAATAAAAAATTGAAAACCAATCTAAAAAATCGAAAACAGCAAAAAATCGATATTTATTGGATGCATTTGGATATTATTTTGTGAAAACCGATCGGTTCGGAACGGATTTCGAATTAATTTTTAAAAAACGATTCAAACCAAATTGAATCATATACATATATTTTTATAGTTATTTATTTTTTATTAGTATGATATTTTGCGTAAATTTATTATTAGATGATACTAATTTTTTTAATAATATTTATTAGCTTGATATAATTTATTTATTTTTATTATTTCAATCATAATTAATCACTCTCATTTTGTAATATTAACTTTTAATATACTATATGTTATTATATCAAATCTATAATTTATTAGTAGTTTTATAATATTAATAAAAATATAATGTGTAATTTAGATATCTAAGAATCGATCCAAATTAAATCGTATGAAATTGGATCGGATCAGATTGAATTTTTTTAATATATCATCTAAAATCGAACCAAACCAGAAGTAAATTTATATTTGGAACGAATGAGTTTTTGCGTTAAAACCGATTCAAACCGAAGCGCGAACACCCCTAACACAAATGATTCTTTTGTAGACAAGGATTCAAACAGACTCGAAACTAAAAATAAACTAAACATAAAATTTGTTGGTGCACAGGGAAGATAAAAGGTAAAAGAAATATTTACTGACAACTTTAAAATAAGGATTTACAATGAACTACAATAACCTACTCCACTAGGCTATTTATACACAAAATTAAACCTAAAATATATATTCTAACAAAGATATAAGAAGATCTAAGATATATATCTTCTAACAAAGATATAAACAATCTAAAAGATATTCCTAAATATAAATTAATATCTAATTAATTATAAAATTTAAATTAATTCTAACACCATCCCTTAATTTATATTTACCCAAAACTGACAACACCAATTACATCCCTTAAACCAAGAAATTGATCAGTTTTGATAGCCTTTGTCAGAACATCTTCCAGTTGCTTCTGGGTACTACAATGTACAACTTCTAAAATTCCATTTTGAACTTGATTCCTCAGAAAATGATACTTGGTCTCAATATGCTTGCTTCTCCCATGCAACACTGGATTCTTGACAAGATTGATTGCAAACTTGTTATCAATCATCAGCTCCAGAGGTTTATTTACCTCAATCTTCAGATCTTTCAGCAAGTTCAAAATCCACACAGCTTGACATGCAGTCAGAGCGTCTGTAATATATTCAACTTCACAAGTTGACAGTGCAACAACAGGTTATTTCTTGGAACACCAAGAAATATGACCTCCCAGAAATTTGAATAAGTATCCAGAAGTACTTCTTCTGTCAACTCTATCTCTGCACCAATCCGAATCAAAATAACTCAGAAGTTCTGATTCGATCTTTCTTCCAACGAAAATAACACTCTATATTTCAGAGTTCCCTTCACATACCTCAGAATCCTGACTGCATCTTGGTAATGAGACCACTTTGATTTGCTCATAAAGCTGCTAACTATTCCAACTGCATAGCAAATATTAGGTCTGGTATTACACAAATACCTTAGAGAATCAACCATCTATTTGAAGGTTGTAGCATCCACATCCTCTCCATCAGAATCAGAGTCCAACTTCTGATTTTTATCAGCAAGTATGATAGCAACTTTGCAATTTTCTATCTCAAATCTCTTCATAAGTTCTAGTTCATACTTCATCTGATGCAAAATGATTCCTTTCTCATAGTACATAAATTCCATCCCTAGAAAGAAACTCATTTTCCCAAGATCTGTCATCTCAAACGCATTCATCAGAACTTTCTTGAACTCAGCTATCTCTTGTTCAGAACTTCTTGTGAGTAATATGTCATCAACATACAAACAAACTAGAATCATATTACCTTCTTAAGTGTGATGAACATAAACACCATACTCCATCTCACACTTCTAAAATCCTTGTTCCTTGAAAAATGAATCAATCTTCAAATTCCAAGCTCTGTGCGCTTGCTTCAATCCATACAATGCTTTGTGTAATTTGAACACCATCCCTTCCTGATTATTTTTCTCAAATCCAGGAGGTTGTAAAACGTACAGCTCTTCTTGTAATGGACCATTCAGAAATGCAGATTTTACATCTAAATGCATCAAAGGCCAATTCCTGTTAGCAGCTATTGCAATCACTAGTCTGATTGTTTCATGACTCGCTACAGGTACAAACACTTCAAAATAATCCAACCCATGCTTTTGTAGAAAGCCTCTTGCTACTAATCTTGCTTTGTGTTTACCAATTGATCCATATGACTTTAGCTTCTGCTTGAAAACCCATCTAACGCTGATGGATTTCTTGCCTTTTAGAAGTTCAGTTAGCTTCCAAGTCTTGTTTCTCTTTATAGCATCAAGTTCTTCTTTCATGGCCTGCAACCAGACTTGCTGCTTAAGAGCCTCATTCGTACTCACGGGTTCAGAGTCTACTAACATTGCACACTGAATAACTTCTCCTTCAGAGTCTACTTCAGTGTCTTGCAACATGTTAAACTCTGTAAATCTTCTTTGGATGCTTCTGACTCTTTGTTGCCTCTGAACTGGTCCTTCAGAACTTTGGACACCAGAACCTTCCCCTTCAGAAGCACTTGCTTCAGAATTTGGATTTTCTCCAGAACCTTGATTGTCTTCAGAGTCTGGATCACCATTGGATTCAGAGTCAGAATCATCTTCTCCTTCTGTATCTTCTTCAGAGTCAGAGTCTTTACTAACTTCAAAAACATGTATTTCTGACTTTTCTTCAGAAGTTCTTTCATCAGAGTCAGGACGAGACTTTTCCCAATTCTAAACTTATAATTCCTCTACAATGACGTCTCCATTGAACTCAACTTTATTAGTTTCCGGACAATAGAGTTTGTACGAACCTGTACTGTGGTATCCCACCAGCAACATCACTTTACTT